ATTACCAGTCATTTACTTTGTTTATAGTGGGATGTGTCATTTAATTTGTTTGACTAACAGGCCTTCCTTCCCTCGTCCTTTCTCTGACGTTTACGTAAGCACCATAACAAATCTACCATATCCATAGTAAAAAAACGGAACCATAAAGTAGGCCCGCAAAACGGAATACCCCAGCAACAGGGAAAAGAGTAAAGAAAAAGAAACAAGGAAGGGGGAATGACAAGAACAAATGTATATATATTTCCCCCTGGCGACCGACCCCCCCTCCCGCTCCATCGGAGCACTCGGGCTGCTACGTTGTGGACATCCACCAGTCCGCTCAGGAGCGCGCGCAGAAGACGAAGACGAAGACGAAGACGAAGAAGAAGAAGAAGAAGAAGAAGAAGAGGAAGAAAAGCGAAAGGGGGAAAAGTGGAAGGACGGGGGATGAGGAGAGGGCAATGAGCAGGAGGAGGAGAAGGAGGAGGAGGGGGATTGGAGAAAAAAAAAGTGTGAAGGGAAATTGACAGCAGGCTGATCGGCCTGAAAATCTGTCAGCAGAAGAGCAATCCTAGGAGCTGAGGAACAGACCTCAAGGAGTGGGAGAGGAGGGGAGGAGGAAGGGGGGGGAGAGAAGGACAAGGAGAGTGTTGGGAGTAGGAAGAACAAGAGAGAGCGGAGTGTACTGAGAGTTGGAGTGCACGAGGGGGAAAAAAGGTCATGAGGGAAGGAACGGGGTGGGAAGAGGGGGAGGGGCGGGCAGGGGGAGCTAACAGTAGAGAAGAATGAGGGCACAGCCGGAGTATGAGGAGAAAGCGTGAGTGGACTCTTTAGTATATCTTTCCTCTTCTTTGAACCGCTGTGGTTCTCGACTCCTATCTCTCTTTATAGCAGGCATGTTATACCGGAGAGGAAACGAATCGCCATCTGCCTCTATTCTGTCTTCTATTCTGCTTTTTCTCCCTCCCATCTCCTATCCCTTTCTCTCTCTCTCTTTCTCTTTAGCCCATCTTCTCCTCCCCGTGCTCGGTATCATAGCGGCATGTCCCTGTGACCCTTCCTCTCCTCCCTGTGATCTTCCTGCTTGCGACCAAAAAGGTTGAGTATGCTTGCTTTCTGTGTGCTGTCCTCCCTCCGTGTAAATCCCTCTTTCTGGCCTCTCCTTGTTACCTTTTATGCCTGCATACGACGTACCAACCTGCAGGTGGCTACTTGTTGCCTACCTGCTGCCTGCCTGCCAATCACCCTCCTGTCTGCAGCCTGCCTCCCTGTCGCACTCCTGCCGCCTGCCTGGCTATCTGTCACCCTCCTGCCTGCAGCCTGCATACTACCCTAGTCAGCCTGCCCCCTGCCTGCCAGACGCTTTCCTCCTTGTGCAGTTTGCCTACCTGTCATTCTCTTGCCTGCAGCCTGCCTGCCTGTCACCCTCTTGCCTGCAGCCTGCCTACCTGTCACCCTCCTGCCTGTAGCCTGCCTATCTGTCACCCTCCTGCCTGCAGCCTGCATGCCAGTCACCCTGCCCCCTGCCTGCCAGTCGCTTTCCTCCTTGTGCACCTTGCCTACCTGTCATTCTATTGCCTGCAGCCTGCCTACCTGTCACCGTTCTGCCTGCAGCCTGCATGCCAGTCAGCAGCCTGCCTGCCGTCTTCCGTTCCAGTTGTTTCCTGCTCGTGCCGCCTGCCTACCTGGCACCTTCTGCCTGCCCCCTGCCTGGCAGTTATTCTCCCCCTGCAGCCTGCTGACATGTCACCTTCACGCCTGCAGCCTGCCTCCAGCCTGCCTCCAGCCTGCCTTACCTGTCAAGCTCCTGCCTGTGTGCCTGCCTGCCAGCTATCCTTCCACCTGCAGTCCGCCTGTAGGCTGCCTACAGATTGCCCGCCGGAGCAAATCTGCTGACGAGCCCGTGGGAGGCTTTGCCACGGTGGAGAACATCATGTGCTAAGAAATGGAATCCTTCTCCCGTAGTCAGACTATGCAAATTTGATCAGGATGGCGTTCCAGGCCCATGGGTTGAGCCATTGTGATGGGGACCGCCTGTAGGCTGCCTGCAGATTGCCCGCCAGTACCGTGCCTGGAGGTTGGCCGCCTTCCTCCTGCGGGTCTCCAACCTGCCTGGCTGTCCTTGACTGCATGTCCTCCAGGTGCTTGCACCTTCTCTTGACCTGTCCTTTTGTTGATGGGCTGGATGGATAAGGTTCACGGGCGAATAAATGAAATGGATAAGGTTCGCGGATAGATAATGGGATGGATAAAGTACATCACTGGGTAAGGTTCGCATGGGACGTGGGATGGCCATGACGTTCACGAACAAGACGGTGAGCTCGTCTCTTGATACTCAGTCTGGTGGAGCCTTCTCTTTTTCGAAACCTGGAAAGATTTCTCCCCAGATCGAAACCTGGAAAGATTTCTCCCCAGATTGGTTAGAATGAGGCGAATGGCTTGTGACTCTTGTGGCGTCCAACGACATTTGAACATCCACCACCTTTTCTGTTTCATTAAAACCGATCTAGCTGCTTGTACCTGGCTATCGCCATCAGGTAGGTACACTCTGTTGGGCAGTCTGTGCCCAATTTACGTTCCTGTCCAGAATCCCCCAGATGTTCAGGTTTCCATTCATGCTGCAGGGGGCAGGCTTTACAGTGTGCCTTTTCTATACGAAAGGGAAATAAATAAAAATGAAAAAGGAAAACAGGAGGGAGGTATGTATTATATTTCGTAATGTTGAGTAACAAAGATGCTGCATTTTTTTGGATCAGATCTTCTTCGTGCATTTGTGCGCCGTCTCACAACTAATTTCGATGGGGGCTTAAACCACCACCACCACCTCCGAGCCCCTTTTTCTTTCGGACCCTGAATTTCACTGCGCACCGAGTTTTGCCGAGCCTGGGTCCCATTGTATTCTCTTTTCTGGTACCCGTCGGGGAAAAAACAAAACAAAACAAAAAAAAAACAAAGAAAAGGAAAAAAGCAAAGACATTAGGGACATGAAAGCAGCCGTATACAGAACATTGGGTACACTTGAGTCTGCCAAAGGGGGTTTACTGCCCTCAGCAAAACACGGCAATAGGAAAAAAAAAAAGAAAAAAAAAAAAGGAAAAAAAGCAACAACTCTTTGGACGTGAAAGCAGCTGGATACAGAACATTGGGCACAAGTGAGAATATGCCCTCCCAATGGGCGTGACAGCCGTCAGCAAACACGGCTGTAGGGAAAAAATAAAGCAAAAAAAACAGCAACATTTCTTTGGACGTAAACGCAGCAGCTGGATACAGAATCTTGAGTACCTGTGAGAGTGCCCCGTTGGTTGCAAGTGTTATGTACCCGATTGAACTTCAATCCACAACGAATTCACACGTTCCCATACACGCATGAAATTGCAACGTAGACTCAGAGGAGGCAAATCTACACAAAACCGGAGAGAAGATATGCACAGCGGAAGCTCAAAATACACATGAGAGAATTGAAAAACGAACGAATTTCAATTCTGCAATCTCTCGTCGTGTCCTCCAATCAATCCTGAGAGTACTTGTTTCAAGAATCACAACCGCGTTTACAACCACCCCTAACAACCAAAAACAAGACTGTGTTCAACGAACGAAGCATGCATGCGGGAATCTTCTTCTTCCTCCTCGCTACCTCATACCCCTCCCTGGCTATGGCTGCCGTAGCAGCAGTAACCCCCCAGCTGTCACAACGTGCCAATCTGAACTACCGGGGACCAACTCCAATGATAGTAGCGCCTGCTCAGCGCCTGCACGGAGGTGCAGCGCTGGAAGTCCTGATGAAGAAGGAGATAACCGATCCAGCACTTCGAAGAAGATGAAGATGAAGTTCCTCCTGAGGCGGAACAGCAGATATGGATGCCAAGTGGAGGATGGCAGCGCCCAAACCCAACAACACAGTCCTGTGGAAGCTCGCGTGCAGAGCTGCTAAATAGCAGCATTTCGTTTCCAAACCACAGCTATGGCTGACGCCCTCCCCTAAAATAGTGCAGCAGCGCTCCAGCAACAGACGCGCAGAGTTTCCCCAGCCAACGAAAACAGTGGGGTCCACCTCTAACATTGCTATCAGATTGCAGGAACTGGATGTGGATTGCTTCCTCTCTCTCTCTCTCTCTCTGTCTGTTCTGAAGAATTAAAAAAAGGGAAATGATTTCCCCCCCCCTTTGCCCCAACTGTTTCCGGAAGGGAGGCTGAGTGCGCCTGGGTGGAAATCCGTCCTGACCCCCCCCCCCCCCCCCGGCGATTTTGTGCAGAATGGCCTGGGGGACCTTGCCTGGTCCAGTTGCCCGTCAAGGCGGCCCGGGCAGGTGGGCGAACCTGATCCAGATGCGCGGCATGGCTGGTAGCACAGCCATTTATCCGTTTATTGAACTTTATTCTTATCCACATCCAGTTTTATCCAGTTTTTGTCCAGTTCTTATCCACAAAACCTGTCCAGTTCTATCCAGTTTTTGTCCAGTTTTTGTCCAGCAGTTTTATCCAGTTTTTGTCCAGCAGTTTTTTCAATCCAGTTTTACCACTCTTATTCCACTTTTGTCCAGTGTTAGAATCTTCTTTTTTTGTTTGTTTTAACTTTTTTTTATCCCCCCCCCCCCCCCTCCTCCTCCGCCCCCCTCTGTTTTTGCGAAAGGGCTACAGCCTTGAGATATCATCTTTGTACTGACCGGCCCCAGGTAATTTCCGAGTTGAGAACTTTCATTGACCGAGTCGAGAACTTTCATTGACCGAGTCGAGAACTTTCATTTACCGAGTTGAACTTTGATTGCCCGAGTTGAGAATGTTCATTGACCGAGTTGAGAACTTTTATTGACCGAGTTGAGAACTTTCACTCATCTGGTTTCATTGGAGTTCGAACTCAGGTCTGTATTTCACATTTCACGTTTCGACAGTTCCATGGGTGTACCAACTGATCTACGCCAGTTGGTCGGTGCCAAGAGCTTCTGTCCATTTGTGTACTGATCAGCTTTTCTGGACTCCTTGTTTGTTGTCCATCTACGTCTGCCCAATTTTTTTCATTATAGTTCTGTCAAGTTGGAGCTGCACGCGATTGAGCCGTGCATCATCGGAGCAGCAGGGCGGGCAATCAGCTAACAAAACGAAGATGGGAGATTCCTCGGGCCTTTTCAATGGACTGTGCATGCTGTTTGATTCAATCGAACGGAATTCAAAGCCAGGCATGAAGAGGAAAATGCTGCGCAAGTTTCTAAATGAATATTATCAGGGTCGGGATTATTACCCGGCGATGAGATTAATACTTCCAGCTCTCGACAAGGAGAGGAACAGCTATGGCATGAAGCAGCAGATGCTGGCCAAGTGTCTGGTAGATGCACTGGGCGTCGCAAAAGACTCACCAGACGCGCTCAAGCTTGTAGGATGGCGAGACGGTGGGAAAAAAAACGGAAAGAACACTGGCAACTTTGTCTTGGTCGCTGTTGAGGTGAGCCACCTGTACGCACACTGCTCAACGCCTGTAGCTTGTTCTTGCACCCTCGGGCATCTTCTTCGTCTTCTTTGTGTTTCATCTGTGTGCTTCTTCTTCGTCTTCTTTGTGCCTCGTCTGTGTGCTTCTTCGTCTTCTTTGTGCTTCTTCTTCTTCTTCTTCTTCTTCTTCTTCTTCGTCGTCGTCGTCTTCGTCTTCTTCTTCTTCGTCTTCTTCTTCTTTGTCTTCGTCTGTTTGCTTCTTCTTCTTCTTCTTCTTCTTTCTTCACTCTTTTTTGTTTGACAAAGTTCTTCTTCTTCCTCTTCATCTTCTTCGTCTTCTCGTTTTCTTCTTCTTCTTCCTCTTCTTCTTCTTCTTCTTCTTCTTCTACTTCTTCTTCTTCTTCTTCTTCTTCTTCAACTCACTTGCACCCTTCTGTTCTGTGGTGGCAGTCTGGTTTGGGCCGACCGACATAGCTGCTTTCAAAAGTCAGCCAAGCATTCATGTGTACTGATACTACTGAATCTATTGATTCAATGATTCTTTAGTTTTTTGTTTTGTTTTGTTTTGTTGATCTGTATTCTGCTTTCTGTGGTGATAGTTGGGCAACTGTTTTTTTTTTTTGTTTTTTTTATTGTTTTTTTGCAGGTTCTTACGCGAAGACAGAGTGAGACATCTTTTGGATTGACGCTTGAGGATGCTAACCACCTTCTTGATCGGCTAGCAGCCGCTGAGAAGTAAGATACTGCTGCAATTTTTATTTATTTTTGCTTCGGAACTTCGGGATCCTTAGATTTCATTTCTTATTTTGCTAAGAAGTTCACGAAAGATAGTCGTTACTTTGCTACTTCGGTTTTTAGTCTGTCATTTCTGAATTCGTAAAGTTTGTTCCGTGAAAGTAGATGGAAGACGGTGAAGACCCAAGAAACATAAAAGTGTCAAAAGAGACAGATTCCATGACAGAGCGTTTTTTTTTTTCTGTTTTTTTTTTTTTTCTTCTGTTTTTTTCTTTCTTTTCTTTTTTAAAGTTTTTTTTGTTTTTTTTTTGTTTTAAGTTTTAACATATTCAAAAGCTCAAAACTCTAGGTGGCTGTTCGAGCTAAGGCCGTATGTAGGCTGCGATGGCTGTCAGAGCAGACCGATGTCACACCTATGGAGAGATGGATCATCATCTTATGTTTGCCAGAAAGAGAGACACAAAAAAGGGTTTTACGTCCAAAAAACAAAAAAAAAAAGGTGCAAAAAGTTTTTCGGGACATTCGTTGTTCAATTTAGAGGAGAAGATTAGCAACGGCCCCTGTGCAAGGATGACACGCATAAATTTAGAAATGGCCCCCAAAAAAAAGCAAAAAAAGAAAAGTGCAAAAAGAAGGCAACTGGCATGGGCCTTAATTTGTTCAGTGTATGATGTGAAGCTGTGAACAAGAAAAAGGTTTATCGTACCTACATGGGACGAATGAGTGAACAAATGAGGGTAAACTGCACCTGCCTCCTTTTTACGTCAGATATGCAGATGATTTTATTTGAAATGTCAAAAAAGTTGTTCAAAAGTGGCTAATTGGGACGGATAAAAAGAAGTTGCGGGACATTGAATATGAACTAAAGTGGTCAGCCTAGACAGCTGATTCACTTCAGCAAGTAATCTTTTTTTTTTTTCCCCTGCAGTTATCTTCCTATTTTAGTATTTTCTTTTCTTTTCTTTTTTTGCAAAGGAGTTCGCCCAGCCGGAGATAGATCTGACATCTAACGTCTGACTTCTGAACCGGGATACCGACCGGGCATTTTTTGACTTTTTCCTTTGTTTTTTTTTTTCTTTTTTCATGGACCCTCGCTGGCCCTTGCATGGCCGGGCTGTCCGGGGAACCATAGCGGAGGTCGATGATCCCACCTGATGTGTTTCTGTCATGGAGGTCGATGATCCCACCTGATGTGGATGGTAGGTATGCTATTGACAGAATCTTAGCTGAAGATGTCTACCGATCAGGAGGAAGGGGACGGCCTTAGCTACAATACGAAGTTAGATTAGATTTGCATACTGAGAGCCTGAAGAGGATCGCTGGTTCACAAGGGACGAGCGTATAGAGACTGTGGCAGATATTGTTTCCTATTATGAGAGGGCGAGGAATGGGATCAATGTCGCACGCAGATAGGTGGAGATCGTATCTTTCTAGGAGAACCTCGAAGTGAGGCTGGCGGGAGTGAAAAGGATTTCACGCTGCAGACCCCTGAAAGCCCGGCACCAAATCCCCAAGGTTCCGAAAGTTTCGAGGTCCCAAGTCCGTGGGTTCAGTCGAGTAGGCCTGATAGACGAGTAGGGGCGTCGTCGGTATAAGTGGGCCCGGCATCCGGAGAGGTAAAGTGGATGTGCAGTCGCACCGGTACCCGACAGAAAAGTCCAGAAGGTTGAGTTGTTGTACAGCCAGTCCGGTACCCCACAGAAGAGTCCGGAAGGTCCCAAGTCCACAAAAATTGCAGCGGGTCCCAGGAAAGTCCAGGAAGCTTCCGGACCGACAAAATGATTGCAGCAGACAGGCCGCGGCTGACCGGTACCAGTCTGAAGTAGGCCAAGCTATGGCCAGTCCTATATTTAGCGGCTACAGGCCAGCGGCTCATCAGTTGGTCATTCATGAAGTTGCGGAGAACACTTTCTTCATATAATAAAGATATTTTGCGTATCAATCTCTCGTGTGATTCTCAGTGTCTCGGATATCGGTTTGAACACTCGTCTGGATTCTCGTTGCGTGTGTGTGCGAGGTTGAGGGTGATTGACTTGCGAATCTTTGCACAATCACAACGGGGCCAGAAATGGTCCTTTGGCCTTGGGACAATCACAATGGGCCCACAAATGGTCCTTTGGCTTTGGGACAATCACAATGGGCCCACAAATGGTCCTTTGGCCTTGGGACAATCATAATGGCGTCCGTTGTGATACCTGTCAAACTTCGGGACATCACAGCTAGCACAATTTGGGGCATCACAGCCAGCAAAATGTCCCAAATTTGAGGGACGCCAGGCCCACTTCCCGGTTTTAATTGAAAGTTGTTGTTTAAAAAAAAAAAAAAAAAAAAGTCCCAAATTGGCACCTGCGGCAGAAATTGGCACGCAGCCAAAACGAAGAGGTATCGGAAGTACTGGTGGTTTGATGCCCTTTTGTTTTTGAAATGTATGCCGGCCGGTTGCCTGCCCCACACACACAGCTAATGGCAGATTTATGTGTATGCCTGGGTACCGTCTTCCCACGAATAGAACGTACGGTAATTATCACTGTATTTGGAGAATTTTGGACTGAAAGTTGTCCCAAATACAGGGCATAATGACTGTACATTCTATTCGGCGGAAGACAGTAGCGGTGGCTACGCAATTTTGCATCTGATCTTATCAGGTTGCAAGCGGGCTTTCCATTCCAGTAGGCATGACACGACCTTCTGCGGAGGAGTTAACAAAAACGAGGAGGAAAATAGCTTTGTGAAAAGGTGAAAGAATCAGAAAGAATCACAAGAATAAAAAACCCTAAACAGACAAAAATTGAATGCCAAAGCACAGTTGTTATCTTGCTCTTTTTCGATGGCGCGCTGTTAGTTCTTTAAACATATGAGACACCATCAGAGGGCTTTCTAGTAATACAAAAGGGAGGAAAATGATGGACTTTGTTTGTTTGGTTTTTGTTGTGTTTTGTTTGTTTATTTGTTTGTTTTTGTTGTGGTTTGCTTGTTTGCTTGCTTTTTTTTTTTTTTTTTTTTTTTTTTTTTTTTTCCTTTTTTTTTTTTTTTTTTTGTGTGTGTGTGTGTGTGTGTGTGTGCGCGTTTGTTTGTTTGCAGGCAGGAAAACATCATGGTGATGAGAGAGATGATCAATAAAACAAGTTGGAAGGAAATGAAGTGGATGCTCAGCATCATTCTTAAAGGTGCAGTGACCTCATTCCTTCATTCATTCATGACATCAACATTGTAGGTCTGCATCTCTCTCTCTCTCTCTCTCTCTCTCTCTCTCTCTCTCTCACACACACACACACACACACACACACACACACACACACACACACACACACACACACACACACACTCACTCACTCTCACTCACACACCATACGTAGTATGCCTTCTGGCCAGAAGTGTGAGTTTGCCTTGAGTTCATTTTCTGTCCTGTTTGGTGTGATGGTTTGTTATGTCATGGATTGAGAACTGAACTGAATGGAGCCACCTGTTTGATTGCTCTTGGTTTGTCTAAATGACTGACCTTTTGTTGTTTCTTCAGGTGCCGGGGTTCTGTGGTGGCGGTCACCGCAAGGGTGCGGTTTCTTGCCCTTTCGTTCCGCACAGTGAGTAGAGTTAGCACCCACCCCAAGGCCCAAGGGGTGGCAGACTCAGTTCTGGAGTACTCCCACTCATTCTTATCACCCCTGCAGGTGGTCCTGCTTGACACAAACCTTGTACATACCAGTTCCTTGTGATGATCGGACACCTCCTCCCTAACAGAGAGTAGCTAATCGTGCTGCGCTCGGTGTGTAGGCCAGTTGGGTTGAGCACCCCACACAGGTGGAGGCATTCTGCGTATGAGCCGAGCCCTCGGTTGGAAAACTCTGTGGCGAGTGCCACCTGCTGGGGACACCCTCCTCCCCGTGCTTTGCCGACGGGCCTAAAACCCTGGACCATGGCATACCTTTTCACTCGGTCCTTTTTCTTTTTGGTCATGTATTCTGAACCAGGCTTTTTTCCTGAAAGTGGATCTCTAGGATTTCAAGTTCTTTACCTTTGCGGTACTCTGCCTCCATGCATTCGTAGCGTGCAAGTGGGCCGTTATGGGTGTCCTGAACTCTCAAGTATGCGACGTACTTGGTTTCGCTGTCCAAGTCCGTTGATTTAGGCTCCTTCCCCTCTGCCGGTAGGTGCGAAGTGTGGTAGTTACTACGAGCCCTCTGCCCCATTCGGAAAGAGATTCGAATGGTTCACCGGTTCCACCATATGCTCTCTGGGTTATGGTGCACAGGGATTTGGGCAGCTTGCGCTCAACCACGATCAACGTGCCAGGACTTGTATGTACATTAGAGGCACAGTAAAAGGGGAGCTGCAGGAAGAAATAGAAGGGGTACTCCAGAGGAAGCCAAAGTAAAGATAGCGAAGAAAAAGGATTGTACAAGGAAAAGGCAATATAACGGATTTATTGTGCTTCGTGTGTTTCACTAACGAGGTAAAATTGTTTCAGTGGATTTGCTTATCCTTGGTGTGCTTCATCGTCCGCTACAGTGTAAAACTGCTTCAAGTTTGAACTTTGAATCTACTCATCTGGGTGGAAAAGGGGCTGCTGTGGTGACAATTTACAACCACACACACTCAGGGCAAAATAAAAAATAAAAAAAAGCTGAAAAAAATCATCCCCAAATGCACTTTTCAGTGCTGGGGGCGGTTAACCAGGGCTGAAAAGTTGGGGTCCCTGTTAACCGCTTGTGAGGCTGGATATCGATCCCTTTCATTCCACAGCGCCTCCCACAGCCAGTCCTCCGTGCTGCTGCTGCTGCCTTGGCCAGGGACTTTGCTCAGCATTGGGGGTCATCTTGGCCACATGGACGTGCCCCTATGGTGGTTCTGCTATAAAGCACAAGTGGTTAACGGGGACCACCACTTTTCAGCAGCGGTCTTGGGCAACAGGTTCAGAACTGAAATCATTAGGGGTTGAACTTTGAGGGTCAAATTTGAAATTTGAAATTTTCAATTTTATGATTTTTTTTTTTTTTTTTTTTTTTTTTTTTGTTTTTTTTTTTTTATTTTTATTTTTTTTTTTTTTTTTTTTTTTTTTGCCTGTTTTTGTTTTGGTTCAAGGTTGCTGTTTGCCAAATTTGGTGTCTTTTTTGAACCATGGAAATTTCCTAAAGGGGATTGATAGCCAGCCCCTGGGGGGTCGTCTCTCCCACCATATAGGTCTCTCCCACTGTAGCTGCAGAACTATCGTTTGCGGTCGTCTCTCTCGAAGTGGACCTGCATTTTGGGTTGGACCTGCAGTCGTATTTGGGGTCCTCTCTCCCACAGTGGACCTGTATTCGGGGTCACCTCTCCCTCTGTGGACCTGCATCTGGGCTTGTTTCTCGGACAGTGGATCTGCGTTTGGGGTCATCTGTCCCTCTGTAGACCTGCGAACCTGTATTCGGGGTCGCCTCTCCCTCTGTGGACCTGCATTTGGGCTTGTCTCTCGGACAGTGGACCTGCGTTTGGGGTCATCTGTCCCTCTGTAGACCTGCGGACGTGTATTCGGGGTCGCCTCTCCCTCTGTGGACCTGCATTTGGGCTTGTCTCTCTGACAGTGGACCTGCGTTTGGGGTCATCTGTCCCTCTGTAGACCTGCTGACCTGTGTTCGGGGTCACCTCTCCCTCTGTGGACCTGCATTTGGGCTTGTCTCTCTGACAGTGAACCTGTGTTTTGGGTCATCTGTCCCTCTGTAGACCTGCGGACCTGTATTCGGGCTCGCCTCTCCCTCTGTGGACCTGCATTTGGGCTTGTCTTTCTGACAGTGGACCTGGGTTTGGGGTCATCTGTCCCTCTGTGGACCTGAATTTGAGGTCGGCTCTCTCTCTCTCAGGACCTGCATTTGGGGTCATTGCTGCCACAACGGATCTGCACGACTATTGAATCATTTGGTCCTACCAGATAGTAGATAACATTGGCAAATCTGATTAAGGCTATTTTTAGTAAGAAATTTATAGACACGTCACATTTACCGATTGGACTATATGACAGCCATGCATGGAACAGGGAGAGGTGAAGGAGAATGGATAAGTGTGGGAGAGGTGGAGGAAGGGTGCTGGTCTGCTTTTTTGATATTTCATATATTTTGGTAAAGTAGCTGTCGAAGATTTGAAAAACAATTGATTGTGCAAAGGCTGAGCTCCTTGCATTTTATCTCGGTGTCATTTGTTTACATGTGGACGAAAAGTGCCACAAAACTGTTGCTTATTTCTGTTCTTTTGTTTTAATTTGTTTGAATGGTTTACCAGCTCTTTGTTGGGGGGGGGCGGGGCAGGGCGGGGCGGGAGTGACCGGGGGTTGGGGGTTGGGGTTGGGGTTGCGGAATGATTCGAAATGTATTGCGGGCTTCTCTGGAAAGTTCTGTTTGGCCTTTTTTCTTTTGTGGTCTTTACTTGCCTTCACTTACAAAGAAAGGTTGCAATGTTCCGATGAATGGGATGTTATTATCTGGTAGCAGATCTACATCTGGGCCTCGGGGAGAAAGCTGTGTTTGCGGACTTCCATCCAGATGCAGAGCACCTGTACAACATGACGATGGACTTGAAGGGTGTATGTGAGAAGTTACACGACCGTTCAAAGAGGTTGGAGAGACAGGTAGGTCAGTCACCAGCCCCTAATCTGTGGAAAGGGTACCTTCCGCTNCGTTCAAAGAGGTTGGAGAGACAGGTAGGTCAGTCACCAGCCCCTAATCTGTGGAAAGGGTACCTTCCGCTTTCGAGCCCAGATGGACACATGTTTGGGGGCGAATCGATGAGGGACCTAGCTAACGCGTTAAACACTCTGCCTGGGGAGTACGGTCGCAAGGCTGAAACTCGAAAGGAATTGACGGGGGCTTGCACAAGCGGTGGAGCATGTGGTTTAATTCGATACAACGCGCAAAACCTTACCAGCCCTTGACATATGAAAGAAACTCCTTGTAAGAGATGTACTTTTGACCCATACACAGGCGCAATGACAAGAGATCTTGGAGAGAGTAAATCACACCACACCAGGTGAGAGAGAATACACAGTGGAAGCACTCAAAACGGGAGGTAGAATTGAAATTAATCAATTTCTAATTAATAACCCGCTCCCTCCAGCCAATGAACGCACTGTTTTTCCAAGAATCCGAACCAGGTTATTAACATCCAGGAAATGGCAGAAACCAATTATTTACACAAGTTTCATCAAAGTATCTAAGAGTCTTCTTCTTCCTCCCTCCAGTCAAGCTCTAGCTATGGCGTGGCACAGCACCCAACCCAACAGCCCATCAGTCGCCCCCAACCCTCCTGAACCCAACACGGCATTCAGCAGTCCAATCACGATGCCCACTGCAGATGAAGTGCCCACTTAACAGGGGAGAGCAGCTCCCTGGACGAAGAAGAAGAACTCCAGCACGATGAAGATGGAGCCTGCCACTCTCGAAGAATACCTCATGGAAGAGCCGCTTTGCAGGCAGCTGAAATATCCCCAACGGCACAGTAAACAGGAGGATGCGCCTACAGCGCTTAGGGCCTGTAAGCCCAGCGTTGCCCTCAAAATAGCTGGCTGGCCCAGCTATGGCCGCCAGCTCATCACCACGATGGAGATGGATGCGCAGGTAAAAATAACATGTGCCCATGTGGGTGGGGCCACTGGTGGGTGGGGCCGCTGGTGGGACCGAGGGTGGGGGCCGCTGGTGGGGGCAGGCTCAAACAACCAAACAAACACAGCAAACACCTTGAAAACTCACAAAATGTTAGAAAACAGCCTAAGACTTGGTGTTACACCCGCTGAAACCTGCAACTCGTTCACACACCCAGCGGAGAGAGAGAGAGAGAGAGAGAGAGAGAGAAGATTTTATTCCAACTTGCTTTTAATAGCTGATGAATGGAACCGGTGTGTACTATTAAGCATAGTTAATTGTGGTTGTTCCAGAAAATATTTGGGCCCCTGATGTTACACTGATTTGCCCAGAAAGGCCCCCGTAAGCGTCCCGTTTGTTGATAAACCCCTCAACTGTAAGTGTCCCTTTTGTTGATAAACCCCTCAAAACTTGTACGGTTTGCCAATTAGCCCCTTAAAATTGTCCGCGTATTCCCGTAAGGGCCCCGCAAAATTGTCAATTAAGCCCTCCTGTCCTTACTATGAACTGTCCATTGCAGAGGCCTTGTCCAAGGGATTTATCAACAAAAGGGTACCGTAGGGGGGCCATATGGCCCGATCCAAATCAATGAGCATTGGGGCTCATTGACGAGTTTGTATTTTCCGAAAATGTCAATGTTACTATGGATTTATAATGATTTATACTGATTGTTTACATCTGTTTTCCTTCTCAATCCCATCTGCGGCTTTTTGATTGTTAGGACCCATTCAATTCGAGGTTTCAATGCAACGACTAATTAGGTTCCCACGGTCCCACCCATACAAGTAGGGGGTTCCACGGTCCCACCCATACAGTTAGGGCTCCATGGTCAGAAATTGATCTTAAATTTCTGGCATTATAGTTCTGGTTCTTCTGAATGTGCACTTGTTTTTTTTTTTTTTGGCCCGACCGGGCAAGTGGTCCCGGGCCACACTGGTCGCCTGGCTTAGCACTGCATTTTCTCATGTTTTTTTTTGTTTTTTTTTTTTTGGTTGGCTCTGCAGTATGTTTATTTTCTTGCTTTGGTCCCTTGCAGTTGTTACCAGCCTCCAGGTAAACTTCTCAGGCTGGTGCTTTGTTCTTTTTTTCTCACCTTCCCCTTCATCCCCTCCTCCGCCCCCACTGCGCCCCTCAATTGAGCTCAAGGGGATATGTTTCCGATGGTCCCCTTTCATCACCCTGGGTGTAGATACGAGTGCGTTGGCACGTGATTGGTTGGCAGTGCTGTGGTGTTCTTTTGTCCTTGATGATGTGTGCAGGATCTCACTATTGGAGCAGTAGCTCGACCTCAATTGGCATCACGCATTCCAAATGTGGAGCAAGCATGGAAGAAGGTTCGTGAGTGATGTGTTAGGGGAGGGAGGGAGGGATGATGAATGTTCAGAATCTGAACTTCTTTTCTGTCGTTGCCTTGCTCGGTTGTCTTTCAGAAAATTGTGCGCTCCTAGTGTACTACGTATGTCTGTGTAATTTTTAATCTTTGCACGCTCTTATGCGAATACCATGTCAATCGTCCAGCCAGTTAGAGGTTTGCTTCATCCACTCTCTCTCTCTCTCTCTCTCTCTCTCTCTCTCTCTCTCTCTCTCTCTCTCTCTCTCTCTCTCTCTCTCTCTCTCTCTCTCTCTCTCTCTCTCTCGCTTCGGTCTATCTGTCATTTTAGCAGTGTCGGCGGTTCTGTGAACACCGAAGTGTTGACTATCATTGGCACATTACTTAGAATGGTAGCAAACATGTACGACGTGCACGATTTACCCGCCGTAATGAAACTATAGTGTGTGGAACTGAAACTGTTGGAATACCCGTGGAAGACAACATGTTCGGCAATTCTGGCATTTCTCAGAGACTATAAGGTCAGCACGGTGCGTAATGTCATCTTCAGTTTTCTGGAAACGGAAGACAGAAGGATTTGGCAAGAAATGAAAAGTACTTTGCAGCAGAAATAAATCAATCGAAATATAGGGCACTTTGAATTTCTCTGCTGGATTATACTTAAACATGATGTTTTTCGGCCGAAAGAAACGTCTCAAATGAACCAATGAACCCAGGAGTCGTGCACATAAAGAATCACACACATATAGACATGTGATATAATCATAAAGCAGTCGCATGGAAAGGAATTAAGTAGCTGTGCTTCTCATGTCACAGAACCTTACCAACCGAAGACCATGGAAACTCGATCGTTTTATCTCAGGCCGTCCACCCAAGGAACTCATGGAATTTCATCGTAGAAATTTGAACGACTCATCTCGAAGATATTTTCAAACACAACATGGCGACAGATTTATATACATATCAAGTTTGATACGAGGACAAAATTCTGAGGCTGAAGAACACCGGCACATCACGGATTCTGAGGACAGGTAGACAGATACAAGGGAAGGAAGTGAACTGGAGACACTACCTGGACGAGTTACGTCGTAGGATATGATGACATAACCCTTTGTCGACGGAGGAAAATTTCGGATATACAGCGACGAACACAGCATCAGGACTGGCAGGACAGTGAAGTATTTGGGCCGAGGTGAGTACTTTTGACATTGGCTGGATAGATTACCTGAGCAAAGAAGAGGTGGAAGGGTAGTCGCGGCAGGATCTGTCGTAGGCCATGGACAAGACGTGTATTCTGTGAAAGTAAAGCCTCGCATGTGTTGTCCAATATTGCAAGTGTGTATCTCAAAGCACAGTTCTTTGCACTTGCGGGAAGCACGCGTGAAGATCGGCACTGCCTTAAGGTTGGTATACACGACATCATGTCCATATCCACATTTTATTTGCTAGGATGGATTGTACTAACACATGGCGTAGTGGTTGCAGCTGTTGACGACAGAGTTTGTATTTGGTTACTTACCTATTTTGCCAATATACTTGGGGAGCGAGTTTTTATACCACGATGGAGATTCATTCCTTTCATGTTCTGCTGATTATTTTATGGATATATAGGTATATTTATGCATCTGTTAATTTTTGCAATGGAGGAATGGTTCATGCACACCACGTCTATGGTCGATTACAATAATATAGCTAGGTTAGGCACGCCTGATCATTTTCAATGTGGTAATGTTCATGTGGCGGGATGACAACCGAGGTACCAAATACTCAAGGGAGGATGGCGTGATCGCTATCATCGTCGGCAAGGAGGCGCAAACACTCCTCGTCATCGTCAACATCGTCGAAGGGGAGATAGAGGATCAGACGGGGGAGATCCAGGTCACCTTGTGATCACAAAAGAAGATCAAGATCAACTTCAGTAAGGAGGGGGAGAGCAGGGTCCGACTCACCTAGAAGAATTGGACGGTGTCAATGGGACAAAGGCGTAATGATTTTCCACCACCAGGAAACAGAGCGTGGTTCACCGCCGATCTCAAGGAGGAGATATTTGCATTGAGGCGGGAAGTGGAGAAGATAAAGAAGTCCATCGAGCAAATATCAATGAAATTGTCGGACAGCACAACGGGAGAAGATGGAAACCAATGGGAATGTGGGAGGGATGAAAGTTAGGGTAGTGGACGAGAAGATAACAAAACCATTGACGGCGTCCGATCTGAAGGCAATGATTGACAAGGCACTGGAAACTGCGCTGCCAAGACATCCCGGTGGAGAAACGAGCAAAGAGTGTAACATGCGACATGACGTGAGAGAACAGAGAAGACAATCACAAAGGAGGATAAGGTGGAGAAGATGGTTTCAGAAGTACAGAGAGATGCCAATGAAATCAAGTTGATGAAGTATGAGCTAGCGGCCATTAAAGGACCGCTGAAGAAGATAAACAAACCAATCAGAACTTGCACACCTCGAGTGTCATCGGCAATGAACCCACTTTCAAGGTTCAATGATGACTAGTACGCCAACGTCGGTACATATGAGCAAGAGTGCACCAATGAGAGCGCCGACACCACACCCAAAGAACGTGAGGACGAAGAACCACAAGACGAACGGAACCAAGCGAGCAGCAAAGGCAAAGATAAGCATCAATTTCGGGTATGGACCAATGACGGATACGCAACTCTTAAGGCTTCACTACACAGAATTGAAGGAGTTATGCAAGATTCACGACCTCAAGTACAAGGACAAGCCACATGCCATAGCTGCATTGCACAAAGTACCTGGACTCGTTATATATGAAGGAAGAGACTTTGCGCATGATTCTGAGTTCGAAACGCGGATTGACCCAGAGGACATAAAACAAGAAGCTTCGAGTTATGACGACACGATGAAGACGACTCGTCATCCACATTATTTTGTGATCAGGATATTTAGGGAAGGTAGATCGGTCAGAGCCAACGTGGGGTCTCACAAGAGAAAAAAAGTTGACGCATATACATCGTACAACATCTAGACTAGAAGTACTCGTAAATACCGAGCAAATTATACACTGCTATGAAATTAATAGACTATACAAATTACTCTTTATCTCATTAGCAGCAGAGGGTTATATACCATCGGCAGGATCATTTGTGGATTTATGGACGGCACAATGTGCGGGAGTAGATACATTATTGGACTCGAACTACTGCGTATATGTACTTGCGTCACCATAGGGCAGTCACTTTTACATAGGAAAGACAGGAATACGGCCAGATAAAAGATGGTGCGAACACGTCAACTTGGCTCGTAAATCAGGTAAATGGATACAACGTAAGTTGTACAGCTGGCTACGTAAGTTTGGATGGTACAAGAATGTACTAATTCCAATATGGTATAGAGTTAAGACCCAAGTAGCATCAATGGAAGAAGCTCTCATCAAAAGGTTAAATCCATATCTAAATACACGTGGAAAAAGGACGAATTCAAGAAAGAAGAAAAATCGAAGAAGGGGAAAGAAATCCAATAAAAAACGGACAGTTAATCAGAATATATCAGTGATGTTTAAATCAATGAGATCCGCACATACGATGAAACTAACGTAGGTTCTACAACCAAAAGCAATGATACAATTTACAGCCCGGATTATGGTATGAAAAATGAAAAGTAATTAACCGAAAAAAATGAAAAGTAATTAACCGAA